TTGCCAACACGCTCGCGCAACTCACCCCCACATCCGAGTGCAACTCACCCTTACCCGCACCCGCTCGCTTTTGATCCTTACCCACACCCACGCGCAATGCCCCATACCCAAACCCGCGCGTCATGGGCCCGCAGCTACCAACCACGCGTGCGTGCTTTGGCAGCGCGCGTAGCATCACGCTTGTTGGGCGTGTGGGCGGCACGACACGGTGGCGCGGGCGAGCAGTGTGCTGGCAAGTGAGCATGCGCGGCAGCAGCGCATCAGTGTCCCATGTAACGCGTTGCCCTAACTACTGCCTAGCAACCTAACTTCTTCCTAGTCAAATGTCGAAAGTTCTCTTGACAAAGAGAAGTTGGAGATGGTTGAATTGGTTGAGATGAAACTTGGTTTGGGTTTGTCAAGCCTTAGCTTTGGAGGCTTGAAACTTTTCCAACTCAACCAAGGGAATGTTGAAGGTTGGATTTTCAACCAGTCACAAACTGCCAATTCAGTGTTACAATCTACTCTATCTAAAACACAACCATACAAATGGTTCTAGGTTGGGTTTTCCCAACCCAACTCCAAGCCTAGGGACCCTCCGACCATGGAAACCATGGTTGGGAGAGTTTCCCAAGGGGTGTATTAAAGGGGTTTGATCTAGCAAGCTCATTCTCCACCTCCCACTCCAACTAATCAAATGGAAATGGGATTGTTTCTCTATGTCATTTTGGCTCTCTCATACAACTTCCTACATAATTCTCTCAAGCCATTTTCAACAACTCCTTCAAGAAGGTTGACACCTCCAAGGCTATTGGGAGCCAGTTAGGGCTTCAACTTGTATTGGGGTTTATTATAAAAGCATTGTAACTCCGTTGTAATAACCTTGGGCGTCACATTGGTATATAGAGCAAGGTTCTTCCTTGGCCTTGTGTGGTTATTTGCTACTTGGATATTTGTTTTTCTTAGAGGATCCTAGATTGTGGATCTAGGAATTCATCCAAGGGGCTATCAAGATCTTGAAGATATTGAAGAATGTTCAAGATCTACAAGTGCTTCTACAAGATCTACAAGCTTCAAGCTACAATTTCTTCATACTTTTCATTGGAGCTGCAAGATCTACAAGGAGTTCCTTCTTCTTCATCAACATTGAGAAGAAAATTGAAGATATTAATTTCTCTTACCCACCTTTTGGTGGAAGACTCTAATTTACCATTGGTGGAAGAGTATCTTCAGATGTACAAGGACTTGTTGATGATTACTCTCTTGAGTATATCTTGCAAACAAGTCAATCTTAAAAGATTCTGCATTCGATTAATCAGTTTTCTTGAAGATTATTATAAGATCTGTTGAGATCTCCTTTTCCTTACCCTATTTCATGGCTTCTGGTCAAGAGATGGATGCTACTAAGGAGGTGCCTGTTGTTGGCAATGAAGGAGATAATTGCTGCTGCTGCTGCTGCTGCTGACATTGATCTCAACCTTGAGGACTTCGTGGTTGACATGGAGATCAATGGAAGTGAAGCTGACCTTGAGGCTGATGCTGAAAATGAGGATGAGGCTGGCTTTGATGAGGGTGTCTCCAACGAGACTGAGAACATTGCTGTCAAGCTCCAGACTCAACTCACGGAGCAAAATATTATTATTGGAGAGCAGCAGTGCCGCATCCAGAACTTGGAGGCTGATTCTGTTAGGCTTGAGGCCTTGATTGAGAAACAAAGCAAGGAGGTGCAGTTGATCCCCAAGGAAAACGACACCTCCAGCTTCATTCAAGACCTGCAGATCACTCTCCAGTTCATGCAGGATCAGCTCAAGAAGCATGAGAAACACATCTCTCTGCTTCAGGCTCAGTACAGGGAGATCCGGCTTGGAAACCTCTATCAGCCTGCTCCTGCAGCAGAGCGAGTCGCCAACGCTGCTAACAGCCGTGCTGTACCTGCTGATGCACCTCCTGCTGTTCCTCCTCCTAATCGAGCACGTGCTGAGCCTCCTACTGCAGCTGCAACTGCCTTTGGCTCCTGCCCTTCGGCCCTGCCTCATTTTGTCCATGGCAAGATCGACGTCAAGACTTGGCTCTCCATTGCGGAGGACTTCATGTCCATCCACAATGTACGTAGTGAGGCTCGCGTGGTCGCTGCAACCCTTGCCCTGGACGACACTGCGAGCAAGTTGGTGTACGCCAACAAGCGTCACGTAGAGGAAAATGGCCATCCTTTTGGCTGGGAGGAGTTCAAAGCTGCGATGCTGATGGCATTCCTGGTTCAGCCCCCGGCGCTCGAAGTGCATAGCCGCCTGGAGAACATTTTGTACGGTGACCAGCCTGTACGCGAATAGCCCAAGGAGTTTGAGAAAACTCTGTCGCTGCTGAAGACTGCTCTTCCTGAGAGCGATGTCATCCACCAATTCTTCAAAGGACTCCCTAAGCACATCAAGCATGTGCATGCGGTGAAGGGGGAGTACTAGTGGAAGACCTACAAGGAGTGTAAGGAGCAGGTCATCAGCACGGATGTGCACTTCTGTGCGTACCTGAACCTCAAGAGCACTCGTGCTCAGCAGCAGCATGGTGCCGAAGGCCCTAAGGGGAGGTAGCAGGACCCAGGCGCCCAGGGGCTGTGGCTCTTGGAAGAGGCCCCAATCAGCAGAGGGGGGAATCCTCTGGGACTCAGTCCAAGAGGGCCCATGCTGGGCCTGCCAAGGATTCTCAGAATGCTGACAAGCCCCCGGCGGGCTACCACATCTATGGCAAGCTCGGCCACAAGGCCTATCTGTGTCGTTGGAGGAAGTCCGTCAAGAACTCCGGCAAGCCCAACCAGGGCAAGAAGCCGGATGGTTCGGGCCCTTCTGGTTCGAAGGATTTTCCGAAGTCCAACTAGGGGGTGGGTACCTAGTTGGTAAGCAAGATCTAGTAGATGAGACTTATGTCCTTTGTGATGAGGATTTTCTAAAGCTTGAGAAGCGTGCATCATGCAAAATTGCTTGTTTGTATGCCTCTTCTATTAATGAAAAATATGTTTTTAAAGCTCGATCATACCCACTAGGAAAGATTAACATTTGAATCCTTGAGAGATAATTTTTCAGTCATCTCTTGCCTGTTCAAAGAGTTGCCAGCAATTATGGATATTGTAGACCGTTGTGTCCAAGAGCACTCACTTACATCAGTGGGATTGGTGACTTGAATCGTGAAAGGATAGTTATTCTGCCGATTTCATGAATGGCATATCCTGGCAACATGGGACAAAGGGCACCACGTCTGGTGGACCAACTCCCAAACGTTTGGACGCGCAAACAACAAATTTAGGGTCTACTATCGACCCCCTAAACTAGTTGTCACTTGTCCCATTCGTCCAAGATTCCAACAGAACTTACTGTTTTCGGGACGCATAAATGGGGACAAAGCAAGGATTCTCGTCGATACGGGCGCGTCGGATGAAGCTTGGGTTACGGCACGCAACGTCCTTATTGTAGGACCGTCTTGTCCCATTCGCTTTGGTGACGATCGTGTCATTCCAAATAAAGGACAGACACATATCAACATGAATGTATAGGATTACAGCGAAACAGTTCGCGTGTACGTCCTGCCACTTTTGTAAGGTGTCAACCACATCCTTGGCATGGATTGGTTACGAGCCAACGAAGTTAAATTGGACTTCCAATTCAACATTGTCTCGTTCAATAAGATCAGGAAGGCAATCCAGTGGCAAGTCACCGATACTTTGCTTACTAAAGCACCGACGCCGGAACGTTCCGGCGCGCTGTGTGCATTGGCCAACCAGTTCGGGCATTTTGTTAAATCGGCTGATACACTATTCGTTGTACAGCTTCAAAATGTTGAGACCTCGGGGCCAGAAATTGAGGATTTCCCTCCTCAAATGCAAATACTGGCAGAGGAATTCAAGGAAGTGTTTGAAGCCATCCCTGATGAACTTCCACCTGACTGCGCAGTGGATCACACCATCCCTGTTGAACCGTGAAAGGTTCCACCCTTTCGACCTTTGTATCGCCTCAGTCCAGCTGAGTACGAGGAGGCAAAAAAAACAAATCGAGGAATACCTCAGAAAAGGATGGATTGAACCCAGTGCATCCCCTTACGGAGCACCGATTTTGTTTGTTAACAAGGAGGACGGAGGATTACGCATGTGCGTAGATTATCGTGCCTTGAACAAGATCACAGTGAAGAACCGATACCCCCTTCCAAGCATAGAGGATTAGTTCGATCGGCGCTTAGTGGTTCAGCGCGCTGGACTTAGCTCAAGGGTATCATCAGTTGCGCATTACCGATGAATATGTTCCTAAAACGGCTTTTCGAACGCCGTTTTGGCATTTTCAGTGGCGTGTGTTAAGTTTTGGCTTGACAAATGCTCCCGTGTCATTTCAGCGAGCAATGAATGATGTGTTTCAAGAGGCTATTGGTCAATTCGTCTTCGTATACTTGGATAATATCCTCGTTTACTCGAAGACAGAAGAGGAACACATGCAACACCTGAAATGGGTGTTATGGAAATTGCGAGAGCACAAGTTCTATGCCCGGTTGTGCAAGCGTCACTTCTACAAACGTGAGCTGGAATACATTGGTCACATCGTAGGCAACGATGGCTTAATAGTGGATCTAAGGAAGGTGGCAGCAGTCCAACAGTGGCTAGTTCCACAGGATATGGAGCAGGTCATATCGTTTATGGAACTTGCAAACTATTTCCGCCGCTTTTTGGAGAACTATCCCTCCGTAGTCGCCCTGTTGACTGCGCTCACCCGCAAGGGTAGTGCTTTGCAGTGGTCCGAGCACTGCCAAAACTCATTCGAGGAGGTTAAAAATATTATGAGAAAAGCTCGTGTGCTAGCTTTGCCAGACCCGTCTAAGCCCTACGAGGTGGTAACCGATGCCCCCGTCTAGTACGCTAGCACTACAACGCTAGGCAAACGCTGTCCGAGCTATAACTTCGTAATGGCAGAACTTTTCGCGAGGCAACTTGGCTCATTTTTAAAGCTCTTGGAGCGAGCTTCAATATAGCGAATTCTCAGCTTAATCCGATGGACGGTCTGCAAGGCACGTTGCGCGATGAACAATGTACTCTTGTTATTTTGGCTAAGTCATTCTTGACTCCTCTCTCTACAAACTCGGACCCGAGGATAGGGGCTAGTCTTGTACCAGGCACCCAGGGACCCTTGGAGGTGACCCTGAGGAGAGGTGACCCTAAGTTTGATAAAGTCCTAATAGCTTGAGTTTATTAGGCTCTTACACCAACAGCTCTCCCGTGTCAGTGCCTCCCACACACTCCACGCACCTGCCGCTTACAAGCTGAAAATCAGTCTCGCGCTCAACCATCTTCTCCCTTCCTCCCTTCCTCACTACCTCCCTCCCTCCCTCCCTTACTCTCTCCCTCCGTCCCTCCTTTCCTCCCTTCCCCGCTCCCTCCCTCCATCCCTCCCTCCCTCCCTCCCTTCCACACTCCCTCCCTCCCTCCCTCCCTCCCTCTCCCCCTCTCTCCCTACCTTCCTGCCTCCCTCCCTCCCTCTCTTCCTCCCTCCCTCCCACCCTCACTCCCTCCCACCCTCCTTTCCTCCCGCCCATCCTCCCACTCTCTCTTCACGCACCTGCAGCAGCACGGAATGACAGCCAGGCGTCAGGCACTCCCCAACGCCCACGCCCACACCCACAGCAGCCCCAGGAGTGGCTCCATTGGGGCTAGGTCTAGGTGGGGGCGTGACGTGTGTAGGAGTGGGAGTAGGGGCAGCAAGGATTTCTGGACAGCAGCATACAAGCCTCTCCTCCCGCCCTTCTCCTCCCCTCTTCTCCGTGCTGCCTTCCCACCCACCTATACCCTTATCTTACTACCACACCTTGGTGCTTCTGCTGCACCCTGCCTCATATGCTGCCAGGGAGGGACGTTGCTTGTGGCTGCTGTGTCATGTGAAACCGATGCCTTTATCCCTCTCAACTCAGCATGCTCTGCTGTGTGTGAGGAAGGCTGTCAGGTGAATTCAATTCAGCAGCACTGCTGTTGCAGGAGAAAATGCGTATGGTCATTGACCTTGTACAATAACACCTGCCAAGGTGTTACTACTAGGCCGTTCAAGATTGGTGCATTCATTCATACCATCACATAAATGGACTACTGGACACAATTCCACAGCAACTACCATGCTAGCTATTGGCTACGCCAGTCCTGAGCCATCCCTTCAGAAGCGCAACAGTGCTGAGCCATCCCTTCAGGAGCGCATCAGTGCTGAGCCATCCCTTCAGGAGTGCATCAGTGCTGAGCCATCTCTTCAGGAGCGCATCAGTGCTGAGCCATCCCTTCAGGAGCGCATCAGTGCTGGGCCATCCCTTCAGGAGCGCATCAGTGCTGAGCCATCGCTTCAGGAGCGCATCAGTGCTTAGCCATCCCTTCAGGATCGCATCAGTGCTTAGCCATCCCTTCAGGAGCGCATCAGCGCTGAGCTATCCCTTCAAGGGCGCATCAGTGCCGAGCCATCCTTTCAGGAGCGCATCAGTGCTGAGCCATCCCTTCATGAGTCATTAGTGCCGAGCCATCCCATCAGGAGCGCATCATTGCAGAGCCATCCCTTCAGAAGCGCATCAGTCCGGAGCCAACCCTTCAGGAGCATATCATTGCTGAGCCATCCTTCTAGGAGCGCATCAGTGCTGAGCCATCCCTTCAGGAGCGCATCAGTGCTGAGCCATCGCTTCAGGAGCGCATCAGTGCTTAGCCATCCCTTCAGGATCGCATCAGTACTTAGCCATCCCTTCAGGAGCGCATCAGCGCTGAGCCATCCCTTCAAGGGCGCATCAGTGCCGAGCCATCCTTTCAGGAGCGCATCAGTGCTGAGCCATCCCTTCATGAGTCATTAGTGGCGAGCCATCCCATCAGGAGCGCATCATTGCAGAGCCATCCCTTCAGAAGCGCATCAGTGCGGAGCCAACCCTTCAGGAGCATATCATTGCTGAGCCATCCTTCTAGGAGCGCATCAGTGCTGAGCCATCCCTTCAGGAGCGCCTCTGTGTTGAGCCATCCCTTCAGGAGCGCATCAGTGCTGAGCCATCCCTTCAGGAGCGCATCACTCCTGAACTATCCCATGAGGAGCACATCAGCAAAGCAGGAGTTTCTTGAGCTTTCCATCCCCCTCCCACCAAGTTCCGCAAACCCTCACTCCCACAAACATCTTGCTATCAAGCAGGCTGCAAAAATGCCTCACCATGCATCCCATCCCTTATCCCCAAACCGCCCTGCAACGTCCTTGTTTTTTTTTTAATGTTTTTTTCTCAATGCAGCAGTCAAGGCCACATGGGCTCCTGGAGGGAGCAAGCACGGATTTGGACGTTGTGGTGGGCCGCTTGCGTGCACCTTCCACTTGCACTGCCCACACCTTCCACTTCCACTGCCCGCACCTTCCATTCGCCGACGCTGCAGGTTCGGCCGCTGGAGAATGCGCCGAAGCTGCAGGTTCCGCCGAAGCTGCAGGTTCCGCCGAAGCTGCAGGTTCCGCCGAAGCTACATATTCCGCCGATGCTGCAGCTTGCGATGCTGCGGAATCAGCCGAACGTGCACGTTCCGACTCTTCACAATCGCCCGCTTTAAGCATCACTCCATCTAACCTTACATTTCCCAAAACCAGATTTTGCGTCGCCGCTTAATCCGACATCACAGCTGGAAGCATTAGAAGCATCGGCGGTCCTGCTCTGTGGTCGCGAGAGCAGGCGTCCTTGCATGCAGCGGCAGAATCGTCGCGTGTATCACCATTCTTGGTGCTGTCACAGCAGATGCTCGCATCAGAGGCGCTGCAGCGGGCCGTCATGGCGGAACAATGGCAGATGTCGTTCGTTCCGCAGCTGGACGATTCGCTGACTCTACAAAATGTGGCGCCGCAGCAACCATGCACAAAGCCCGCCTTGCCCCACCCATGCCCGACGACGACTGCCAAATCAGTGTATACACACTCGAAAAACAATGGTAGGCAAGGCTGTGCACTGCTCATACATTGCGCTCGCGTTGTGTACCTGTCTTACCCCTTCCACATTGTATCCTACCCCTTCCACATTGTGTTTCCGTAGCCACTAGCAGTTCATATCGAATCCGCCCCGCACGTGCAAAATTGGGCCAGTACAGCGAATTTACTTCGGTTGTGTTCGATGTATAGTGGTGTAGAACTTGCATAAATGTGAGATATGAAATCACATTTGCATAGAAGGAATTTTTGAGGGGTTGTAACAGAGCAGGCTATAAAGCAACATTTGAATCAGATAAGGTGCTGCTGACGTGTCAGAAAACAACGTCACTTCTGAAGGTGCGGTGTCACAACCAGATGTTACAGGACGGATGTGGTTCGTACCTGTGTGGCGAGCGGAAACACAAATAGCATAGGGTTACAATCTCGCCAGTTTCGTCAGGCTCCCGTTGAACTTACACCTGGTTTGAACGAAGTCGCAAACATTTTCGTCAAAAGTTCATCAATCTGCCGTGCTGGATTGGCTCGTTTGGTGCTCCTTTCCCGAGAGTTTTGCCAATCCCGCGGAATCGCGGTTCGTTTTATTATCGCCACGTGGCATGCCTTCGATCGCGTAAACTGCGATCTGTTTTATTGTTATCACAAACTTCAACAGAAAATTAATTAAGTTCTGTACTGCGCTGCCCGCGGGCAAAAATAAAACCCATTTGGGCCTGGCATGCGTTAGGGAGGCATCAACCCTAAACACCTTGCCTATAGGGGTCTTAGTTTTTGCGTACAGGCAGCGCAGTTCAGAACTCAACTAAATTTCTCTTGAATTCTGTCATAACAATAAAACAGATCGCGGTTCTCGCGATCATAGGCTCCCCACGTCGTAAAAATAAATCAAACCGCGCTTCCGCGGGATTAAGCAAAATTCTCTCCTTTCCCCCTCCTTCAAACTTGAACCACAGCTCAGCATACGTTCATTTTTCTCGTGCTTTGATTAACCTTGATTTACTCACTAATCTTCCGCGGTGCTCAGGCTGCTCGTATCTGTCCATTTAGGCGTCATACACTATTGAAGACCTACGCGTCAATTTCTGTTCTTACCTTCTTCCTCCTGTAGGCTATGAAAATGTTGGGTGCAAATGCACATTGCACGACATCCTGCCGTCTGTTTGTACGAGTATGCGTGTGCGAATGCATTTGCGTGTGAATGGTGTGTTCGTGTGTTTGTTTGCTTTCGCATTTTTCGCTTGATGCATTTGCAGGTACTCGCGCAATGTGCGCTTCGGCACAACATTGTACGCGCTATGAACAGTGCAAGCAGAAAGGACGAGCTCGCAAAGGAACCCAAGATGGAAGCTTTGCAGTTCGGTTGAGTTGATTGCGCAGATTCAGTTCTATCCAACTCGAAATTGTACTGTTTTATTTGGTTAACTATAGTGTAGCAGGGAAGGCACTATAGGGGTACAATTTAGGTGAAGGTTGGATGTTGTTTGTCTGTATCTGCATGCTACAAGGCCAGGGGAAACCAGTGGAACCAGCATTTGGCTGGTTGGGCAAAGACAAAACAGGTTCTGTTTTTAGAACCTGAACCTGGTTGTTGTTTTCCCAGGTTGGAAAAACAGAACCAGAGGTTGTTTACCAACCTACCACCTGCTATTTTGTCCAGCCAGGTTGGTTCTGTTGCTTGGAATTATTTGGGATCATCCCTGGTTGTTCCCAGGTTGATTCCCAAGGTCCTTGCTAGCTAGAACTATTTAATCCTTCTCTGTTTGTACCTGAATATAGTCAAATTGATTCAAGCGAATTCCTTCCTCGCTGGAATTTCGTTTCTACGCGGTTCGTTGGTGGAATGCTACCCGAGTCAACGCTAGTACGCTAGCAATTTAATGCTAGGCAAATGCTGTCCGAGCCATAACTTAGTAATGGCAGAACTTTTCGCGAGGCAACTTGGCTCATTTTAAAGCTCTTGGAGCGAGCTTCGATATAGCGAATTCTCAGCTTAATCCGACCGACGGTCTGCACGGCACGCTGCGCGACGTTCAAGGTACTCTTGCTGTTTTGACTAAGTCCTTCTTGATCCCTCTCTCTTCAAACTCGGACCCGAGGATAGGGGCTGGTCTTGTACCAGGCACCCATGGACCCTTGGAGGTGACCCCGAGGAGAGGTTTTAAGTTTGATTAAGTCCTAATAGCTTGAGTTTATTAGGCTCTTACACCAACAAGCTGGTATCAGAGCTGCGTTATAGTGATCCTCGTTATAGGTAGCTATGGCGGGCAACACCTCGGCGGGAGCTGGTGAATCTTCAGCCCAAGATCGTAGCGGCAGCCAAGATTCTGGTCTTTCAGCGCCAAGGGGAGCGCGAACAAACCAGGGCTTGCTTGTCAAGGAGGTGCTGAAGAATTTCACCGTCGAGAAGTTCAATGGTGAGGGCTATGATGATTGGGCCTGGAAAATGCAATTATATTTCCGTCAGATCGGTTTGCTGAAACTAATGATTGGGGAGGAGCCTAGACCGAGTGACCCCACGCTGCAGGAAGATTGGGACGAGCGCTCCTCGGCTGGCTACTATTTGATGTCGCAGAGTTTGGAGCTGAACCAGCGTCACCACGTCATGCACCTGCTGCCGGAGGTTGAATGCGGTCCGAAGGCGTGGACCGTGTTGAGGGAGCTGCACGCCCCGACCTCCGTTGTCGCAACGTTGATGCTGGAGAGGGAGCTGTCCGCGTTGCGCCTGAGCGAGGGAGAGCCGGTGCAACCAGTCCTGGACAAGATGCGCGACCTCTACGCGAAGTTGGCGACCGCGGGAATCACCTACCTGGAGCAGACCAAGTGCTTGAAGATGCTCTCACTGCTGCCAGAATCGTGGCTTCAATTTACGAGCGGATTGAGCCTGCCGCAGAACCAGAGCTTGTGGACGCTCGAGTGGGTGCGGACGAAGATTCTGGAGGAGGACTTCCGTCGCCGCCAACTGAGGGGTGGAGACGACGGCAGCAGCGGCTACGGGATGCAAGGGAGCCGACGTGGCAGAGGACGTGGCTTCGGTGGTGCTGGACGCGGTGCAAAGAAAGACGACGACTCCAACGACCAACAAGGAGGTACCGGTTGGGGTCGCGGTGCGAAATCTGGACGTGGGGGCAAGTCGGGTGCTGGTGGCAAAATGAAAGGGAGTTGCTGGTATTGTGAGAAGGAAGGGCACCCCTGGTTTTTGTGCTATAAGAAACCCGATGGATGGACCCCCCAGAATCGTCACCAGGATGGCGGCGCGCGGAGGAACCAGAAAAACGGCGCCAACATGGTCGCTGATTCGTCCGACAACAACCCGAAGGGCAACGGCGGTGCGGAGAAGAAGAAGGAGCGCACCGCGGGCCAATTCTTCCATGTGGGAGACAAGGGGGAGCAAGGAGACGCCTCTGCCAAAGTTGGAGCAGAGCTGCACCCCCTAGA